CTCATTGTCTCGATTAGGTTTGTCATGTTTGGGAAGAATATGGGCAAAATCATGAGAAGAACGTTGGCTCTTGTAATGATCAATCTCCTGGCAGATGATAACCGATAATTCCATATTCAAGTTCCTTCCACCTGCAGCCTGTGTAAGTATGCTTGTAAGAAGGTATTACTTCCGAAGTGGTAACTTGGACTTTAGAATTCATTATTAAAAATGAATGATTAAACACAACAGTGTTAGAATAAATAAATGAAAAACTGGAAGAAAAAGTTATCCTAAAGTTCATAAACTTTTGTAAACACGAAAAGAACACTTCCACTTCAGAATAAAGGACAAAATGGTTCAAAGAAAATTTTTTTTAAATGTACTAAGTTTAAAAACACATGATTGAAGAGCACACTGAAAACATTTTGACACAATCACTGCCAAATTAGAAGTGATGTTTCAGTAGAATCGAATAGAGGGAGTAACATGCGTCAGAAGGGTGTGTCTCACTACTACTGGTGGAGGGTTGTCGCATCATGATTTACATGTGAGATGCAGTTGAATCATGTTGATTGGGGGTTACGTGGAAGCTCAAGGCTTGTGGCATGCAAAAAACAAATTTTGCATATAGAGAGCAGCACTGAACAAGAATAGCTATTTATGTGACCAGAGGTTATGTAGCACATTGCAAATTATTTGCTTGAGTGACTTAAGAATACTGTGCCAAGGTAATTTTTTTTCAGCCATGCTATGATTTGGTACCTTTATTAAATATAATGCCTTAAAAATACTTTGTAGTATGTTAATAACAAAACCATATAATTCTAAATGCAAATACTTTATTGCTGCCTACTGAGCACAACTTAATACAATTAAATACAATTTATATGTAGTTATTCCAATCACTTTCTAACAAATGGAGTATGTAGAACAAAAAATATAGAAAAATGATGGGTACAGCTACTTCTTGTTTTCTTGTTGATTTTATGTAAAGATGATGCATCTTCTTAAAAATTATACTTCATCACTAAAAAGGTAGCTTAACCCACCACAACGTAACTGTAGTATATTAATAGCTATGATGAGTGTTACGGGTCTTATGCCTATGGAGATAAATGATTTAAAACAATGTTAACTAGGGGGTGGTAGATTTTTTTTGTGTATTAAATGTTTAAATTTTTTTTTAATTCTTGTAAATATCTCAATGTTATTATATCAACTAAAAAAGTACTGAGAAATTGCTATTACTTTATAACACAAAAAAATTATGTATATTTATAGAATTTACTGAAATATGCAGTAACATATTTATATATATATATATATATATATATATATATATATATGTACTTTATATTTTATAATTATAATAAAAACAAAAAGTAAAGTAGAAGTAATAATTGACAAATAAATTATTA